GCTTCAGCCATTAGATTTGGCCGTGATTAGAAATCTAAAATTGCATCATAGAAAGCAGTAAGTTCAACTCGCTATTCAAAGCATTGTAGAGACTAATAGCAAGAAAATATAATTAAAGGTAACATACATTCAAATTGCTCACTGCAATTTTTCTTCTTTGGTTATTTGTCTAATTTAGAAATTTATGTAAATCAACACGTTAAACATTAAAATTAACTGAAAACAGAGTTAGTTTCAGTTTTAGAAGTAAAAATCGATTATACGACGTTATCGTTTATACGACGTTTTTCGGTGGTCCATTCGGCGTCGTATAAACGATGCTCCACTATATATAAAAAAAAATTTCATAACTAAATTATTAATAAAAAAATACTTCATTTGTTAATATGTATTCTAAGCAAAAAAGCTTTCAAAATAAAGTTTGGAAAAAAAAACAATGTCTAGATCTTTTTCCTCTGTGATAATACATAAAATGTCGATTGGGGTATATAAGCGTGAATTATGCAAGTATGAATTAGGTATGTATGAATAATTCAAAAAGTTCTCTTGTGCTTTTCAAATTCGATGGTGAATATGAATTTATTTACAATGTATAATAAAAGTTAGGATAATTTTACAAAACTAATAAACTATCCATAAAACATATGCTTTATAAATGTAATTAATTTAAAATTTGCTATTAAGTCAGTACATTTATAATTATTATATATTAAAATAGTATTTATTCTTTTTCGTTATTGCTATCATTTTATTTCTAACAACATTTCATTTAATTTAAAATCATCATGGAACAAAAAATCTTAACCCCCTACTAAAATTTCTCTAAAAGCATGCTTTATTATTTACAGCCATCACTAATATATGGATCATTGTTAATCCCTTTTTCTGAAATCAGACATTAGGTTATAATTTAAAGTTTTGGAAAATATGAGACACTTCATAATGTTCTGAAATAATAATAAAAAATTTTCAGAATCGTAAAAATATTTTTTTTTTTTAAATTTAGTTTCATAATTTAATTTTTAAAAATTAATGCAATGAAATATTTTTAAAAAAAATTTAAATTGACTGGTTAGGTTTTTTTTTCTTTTTTACTAAATAAAGTTATGATTTATAATTTATTTTCTAAATGATGTCTTAAAAGCTTCAGAAAACTAATAATAATTTAGAATATCTTTCCTAAAATTTAATATTATTTTATAAATTAATAATTATAAAATTTCATAAATTAAATTTTTCTTTTATAAATATAAATGTTTTATTTTACATAAAATATTTTTACTTTAATAATATAAACATTTTATAAATATAATAATCGGTTTTTATTTCTCAGAATTTCTTTTTTTTTATTTGTTAAAATATAATGCTGTATTAACTAATAATATAAAATTTTTATCAATTGAAATTAGAGCAATTAATGTTTTTTATTACACTTGGAGTAAAAGTCGTTTAAAAAAATTCTTTCTTAACCATTCACAGCTAAATACACCCCTGAAACATGCAGAAAGGGCGTAAGTCCTGTTAACTATCTTTCAAGGAAGATAGAAAATAAATAAATTAATTAATTATATATATATGCATAAATCGATCCACATGTATGTGGTATTTATTATCATAATAAACTAAATCGAAAAAAACAAAACGAAAGGTAATAATGAAGCCTGAATCCAAGATCTCTAAAATTTAAGACTAAACTCATATGTTGATTTAAATTGTATAACAATAACAATCAAACCAATTCAATTAAATTGTAGTTCTTTCCTATTTAAATTTTATGAAGCGCAAAGAATTTAAGAGGATATTTATTTATCTGGAATAATATAAAATTTCATGATTTTTATGTTATCAAAACAAATCGGTGTGAAATATCAATCAATGGATTATGTATCCAAAATAAAGACTTTAGAACTGATATTTTTTGGTTCCTGAAGACAAAGAAAACAACAAAAAGCTATTTTTGTGCTGCCATTTACCACTGTTTTTCATTAGTATAGGTTAAAGAGGGGTGCAAATGGAGTAGCTCAATTTCATAGACTGTTATATATTACCACTGTTAAATGAAACTGTTCATAGTTAGTAACAAAAAGGAATCATGGGCTGTGGTTGTAATTTTATATAAAAAAAAATAAAAAAAACACGGCATCTAATTTAATCAAGCACATTTGAATAGCTATATTCTGAGCTGCATTTTCTGAATCGAAATGCATCTAACCATCGATTTGCACTTGTTATACGCACAGTGTAATAAGTTGAAAACAGAATTTACAGAACGATATCCAGAATTGTGATCAAAGATACAACACTTACCCCCTAGATACTTCCACTATTCTGGATGATAAACACAGCAAAAGATCAATCCACTTTATCACGCATAGTCTCCGACGCAGGTCGTCAACACGATAACGAAGACGCGTGGAAAAATTCGTCACTTTTTAAAAGTACAAACACAAGAGATCGTCTGCAAAATATATATATACAACAAATCAGCACATAAACGCAGACGATCGAGCACAAGACAATAGTAATCCACTCAACTTGTTTTTTCCCAAACGATCTTTAGCCTACACTTGCTACAAAATACAGAGGCAAATTAGTAAGGGGAGAAAAATAGTAGCACCGTACTCCAGAAAATATCTTTCTACACGGAGAACCACCCGTGGACAGGAACACATTCCGTAGAGATGCTCTAGTCCAGGATCAGGGATGAGGAGAGGAGGGGGAAAGGATGAAAAGAGGGGAGGGAGGGATGGTGAGTGAAAGGGAAAAAGGGCGGTGAGGATAAGGGAAAAAAATATATCGAACCGATAGAGAAGAGGACGTGAAAAAAAAGGTAGAAGGCCTAACCTCTTTGGACGCGGGGGGTCGGGGGTCTCACGAACCAAGATGGCGGCTTCCCAATGGCAGCCATTTTGTAGGGGTGCATTTGAATGGGCCAATCAGAAAAAGAGACTGCGTGTGACGGACGGGCGAGGGGGGCGGGGAGACTCGTAAGAGTGTGAATCTTTCGTTCGTTTGTGCCGTCAGTCGTTCCTGAAACTGTGTGAGGTCGTACGAAATGCTGTCGCGCGATTTCGGATTGCCGGCGTATTCTATTTTTGTAACCGAGGCAGTGTGGAAGGATGGTTAAAAAAGGGTTATCCAGTTTAAAAACAGCTGGTGGGTTTGGAACGATGAGAGGATGCCGTTTATTTTCAGGTAAGAAAGAAAAATGGCTATGATGCTTGAATGCAAACGATTATTTTAGGTATAGAAATTTATTTCTATCTAGAGATTTAAATCAATTGTTACGCTAAGCAAATAGGAGTGCTATTTTATCATACTCATTTTACGGCTACAGTTTATTTATTTTTAAAAATGAACGTTGACTGAAATAAGTGTATATCGTCTGCTTTTTCCTTTCAAAATCGGCAAGATAGATTATTAAAAACATATTCAATACAAAGATCTAAAATTGCAATTAAATTAAAAGATGTCCTCTCCTTCTTAACAACGAAATTTTAAATAAATTAAGGGTATTAATCATTCTTTTAAGGACTTTTAAATTAGAGTAACATAGCTTTTTGTTTTTTAAAAGAAATGTAATGTTTTGTAAATAATTAAAATAGTTTTAAGCAACAAAAAGAAGTCTTTAAAAAAAATAACACAGAAAATTTTACTTTCGACTACATTTTTATAGAAAATCGTTAGGGTTGTTAAGTATTTAATATTTATTGGACGTGATAAAACTCGTTTTAGTAATAAGTATGAACAAAATTTTGATTAACTGAACCTTAAAATAAGAAATTCTACACTTGATTATTTTGTTTCTCTTAAAAAGTTATATTAGTTTACATGAATTTTTATTTACAGCCAGTTTATTAAAACTTATTACAATTCACATAAAAGTATTGTTATTTTTTTAAAGTTATGTTTGTTTATATGTCATTCATTACAACCAGTTTATTAAAATTTATTACAATAAAATCTATCAACTATTTTTAAAATTCATCACAATGTTAATACACTAATTTTTTTTTCTCTTTTAAATTATGCCAGTTAGTTGGACCTTAACGTTTTAATTTGAAGAAGATACTTTTTACAAAGAAGTTCATCAGTGTTAGTGTCATTAACAGAAAAACTGCTTTGTCTTTTTGTAATTTACTTTATAATAAAAAAAATCTCTTGATTAAGAATTTTATGTTTGCATGACTGAACTGAAAAAAAACTAACAATGTTATTTCTAAATTCTTAAATTAACACATACTATTTTTTATTGCACGAAATTTTAAATTTTTGTATTTTCTTTTTTATTTCATGGAAAGTAATTATGAAAAGTTCCTACTAATTTCTAAATTCTCAAGTAAATCAATTCTACGTTTTATTGCATGCAAAATTTAGATTTTTCTTTATCATCCTTATTATTTCCAGGAAAGTATAGTTTGAACATTCTTAATTTTGAGTTAATGTGAACATAAAATAAATAAACATTTAATTTTAAAAACAAGCTGGTTACAATTATCTAGTTAAAACGCCTTATTAATTAATACCGGAGAATTTTACTTTTTTTACAAATGTAAATGTTTTACTTCACTCAGAGTAAATTGTGCATTTTACACTTGTTTTGTTGTTTTGAACGATTGAAAAAACTTTTTTTTCCTCTGCATTGTATTTTAAAGTGCTTTTCCTTCAATACTTGATATTTTTTATTAAATCAGTGTTGTTAAATAAGATTCAAGTTTTTTTTATTTTAAAAACCTTTTTCTTTTCATTTTAGATTAGATTCTTCTTCATGCATAAACATTTCACATCCGATCAACTAGCAATATGTCTTTGGCTAAATAATTAATAATTTGAATATTTCTATAATTTTTTTAAAAATAAATACATAAAAACTTACTACGATTGCTTTTCTCTTTTTTTTTGAAATTCTGAAAAAAAAATGAATTTATTTAGTAAATCAATGAAAAATATATTTTCATACAATGCATATAGTTATACATAAAAACAAGACAATTTCTTTTTGTTAGGCTTACCACTTACTTAAATTATAACAATATTTCTTTAATATTTATAGTAGGAGTTTAATTAAAAAATTTGAAATGATGAATGCTTTAACAAAAAATATCCACTGAAGTAATTGAAACATCATTTATGAAATTTATCATTGAAAATATCTTTATATAAAAACTTAATGATTAGATATTTAACCCAACATAAATTATCAAATTAGATTTTAATTTTCAAATCTGAATCATGCAGTTACAATAAATAAAAAAAGCTTTTAAATGTATTTTTTAGAAAAAGTTTGGTAGATTTCTTTATACTCATTGATATGATTGCTTAAAGCGATAGTAGTGCTGTTAAAATATTGGAATGTATAAATTATTTGATAGTATAATAGGGCAATTTGACAATAAATTTAAGTATTGAAAGATTGGCACATTTTCCAAGGTGAAATGTGTTATATTTTCATAGTCATACAGCATAAACAAAAATAAATAAACACGTAATGTTGATTTGTTTTTGTTAGAGCTTTTTTTTTTTAGAATATTTTTTGTATGTACATATATGCACCATCAAATTTATTGATCAATTGTGGATAAATACATTATCTTGTTTATTTTTAAAAAGGATAGTTTGTTTCATAAATTTTTCTCAAGACTTGGTAGATTTATAAATTCTTATTCATCCATTATTTTATTTTTGCGAATAAGTTTTGAGATGCCTTAGAACTCTACTTTAAATATCCTGCACACAGATTTAGAATTTTTTTCTTTATTTTTCAAAACAAGCATACTTGGAGAAGTACATATTTAGAAATATCTTTTTAAGTACATTTTTATTATTTACAAATTTATAAAAATTTTAAGAAATGTGTGACAATTTAAACATTTAAAATATATCTACTTAAAACGATTGATGTTTTAAGAAGCTTTTTAACTATTTTCAAAAAAACATTTTTTGGTAAATTTGTATTGATAATATGTATTAATGATAAAATCAACAACATGATTGTCGAAGATAAAAATATAACCTTTTTAATTAAGTATGATCGCAATTGAAACATATTTATATTTACATTATTCTACCACACTGTAAAAAATCCGAATCAATTTACGTTAAAAAGTACCGGCACTCAAAATACCTTTTAGCATAAAATCTATTTTCACCGGAACATGTTACGGAAAAAAAAAGTACCGTAATTTTTATGGTAATAATTACCGGTAATCACTGAATTAATTTAACTAAATAAATATTATTGTAAAAATTAAGGTATAATGTTTTACGGTAAAAATGGATTTTTGGGTTTTATAGATGATGCACCCAAAGTGCCGGTACTTAATACTTTAATTTAATCTGGAATTTTTTACGATGTAGTTTAGAGCTATATTTTAAAAAAAATAATTAAAGAATTTAAAGATTAGGATTATACAAAAAAAATTTTTTGTCGACGGTATTGATGATAACTGCATGGAGAATATGGCATTTAATTTAAAAGGAAACAATATGTTTTTCAAGCGAATTTACTAACATCTTTAACATTTTAAAGATAAAAAAAAAAATTTATTTACAGTAAAAAAAAAATTTTTTATTTACAGTAAAAAAAATTATATAAAATTATTTAAATTTTGATTATAAATATTTTTTTCTCCGTCACTTTTTAAGTTCTGTTAATTTAATGTTAGACTTTCATACTAGGTTTTCATGATTTAAGCTAGCATCTTCAAATGGCAAGGCCAAAACGAATTTTGCCTCTTGTAAGGGCAAAAACTAAGCAAATTTTTCACGAATAGAATGTGCGCTGGTTCTAATTTTAAGTTACATTAATACTTTTGTATTTTACGTTTACGTGTGTTCCAAATATTTTTCTTAGTGTATGCAGAAATTTAAATTTTAATAATTTTTCGTAACCTCTCATCTTCATATGTATGACAGATATTTGACGTGCAGTGAAACTTCCGTAAGTTGACCACTTGCGATGCAACGCCTTATAGTGCTCAACTGAGATAGGTGATCAACTAAGATGCACGATCAGCTGAGATAGATCAACTTAAAGAGGTGGTGAGTCATTGTTTTTCCTTATCATTTCTTATTTCATGCTGTTTTTAAATAATTTTATTCACATTGTTCGTGTTTGTGTTTTCGTGGTATCAAACCAGGGGTCTGTTTAGAAGAAATTTGGGTCCGTTAACGGACCCTTCACAAAATATCTTTTCATAAAAACGGACCCTTCACAAAATATTTTAACTTAAAAACGGATCCATCACAAAATGATTTTTTCTTTTTATCGGACCCTTCACAAATTTGTTTACCTTCATTATTATTTTGTTAATCGAATAAACCCTTTCCAGGGCAGAAAACAAGAAAGATGGATGTAAACGAATTAAGTTTTGTCTTCGGCAGACGATTCTTCCATTATTCGTCCGAAATTAATATTCTGCGTT